TTAAAATTTAATTAGAATTTTCGTAAAACGGCTTGAGGTTTTGTTTATTGTTTGTTGAAAGCGGTTATATGGAACGCTCCTCTTCATTGTATTCTGGCGTCCAGTAAATCGGCCATCAAATTTATGACCACAGAAATCGCAACTAGAACTCCTGGAATGATTTCCTTGCCGCAATAAATTTTAACATTGTGTGTATTGTCCTCGTCGAATTCAAATAACTTTATGAAAAGTTTGTGAATTCTGTTTTTAACGATAAATTAATGCTAAAAAATGTAGGCAGGTACTAACAATCTCACGACTTTGGCTATTCAAACATTGTTTCTAACTTTACTACGAAAAGGCATACAGTTAATAAAAAAAAAACTATATGCAATTGTAATTTATTTTCTGTATAACTAATTATCTACTCCAATAATAAATAAACTACAAGTAAAAATGTGTAAATAAACTAAATAATAATACACTAAATACTTAATATGCTAATATTAAAGATAAAGTAAATATATATAATACCCACTACACTAATTTACTAACCCAAAGTAAAAAATTACAAACAAAACAAACACTAATACAACAAACTACTTTTCTTCTGACTCTACAAACGTTAGCACCAAGTCGAAAAATGTGTTGAATCGGTAGTAGAGGAATTTGTCCAGAGCGCATCGAGATCTAAGAGCTCAAGCTAGATTTGATGGGTTGTAAGGTATACCTACTATAAGAATTTTGTAAAGATGTATTTATGTCGCTATTACAGTGTAATCATAAAAGTCTTCAAGGAACTTGCTAATTTTTGACACCGTCAAAGATTTGAAATACGGAAAAACTGCAGGATTTGGTCTTACATCATGGAGTAGGCAAAGTACGGCTGAAGGAATTAACTTTAAATGGAAAATGAACGAAAGGTATGAAATTGTAGCCTACCATTTTATAGTGTTTTACTTGTTATAATATTTTAACCTCGCTATTTAAATTCCTACAAGAACTGGTTTTATTCACGGAAAAAATAATTTTATTCAAATTCAACCAAAACAAAAATAAAAATAAAATAAAATAAAAAATGAGATCTATGGTTCTCTGTCATAGACATATGTATTTGACACTGACAACTTTGAAAAAAATGTCAATTTGATACTGTATAAAAGTTCAAATTACAATTTCAACAATAAATACAAACCTTCGCATATTTCAAAAAAATTATAAAAATCGCATAAACTAAGTGGGCCTTATTTGTCTAAGTTACTTTATAATAAAGGCCCTAACCGATTTTCAGATGCAACCCAAAACATGCTCAGATACCATGATACGTTTATTGATGCGATGTTTGAAATTTTTAAAATATATAAACATATACCAATGTGTGATAGCTTTGACAGTTTTCATAAATTGGCGTCATACGGTGTACATACATTTGACGGTACGAATTCAGCCACAGCATTTTGTGGCATTCTCTATTTATCAAGGTTATGTCAGTTTTTTCGGCATTTGAGTACATTTTGAATTCACAGGAAAAAAGTAGAATTGATGACACTGCCAAATTTATTGACTACACTACAACAACTACTCTGATTTAAATTTAATAATATAAATTTTTTACACATAACAAAAACCTAGTATTGGGTTGCGTTTGAAAATTGGTCGGGTTGTTTATTATAATTAACTGAGGCTGTATACAAAGTGATTCTTATAGGGTCTACATTAGAAACTTTACGACTTCTAATTCAGATAGAAATTTTGTACACATCCCAAATCGACCAGTCTGAGTTCAACTAAATTATTTTCAAATGGCTGAACTTCCGGAACTACGAGAAATTGGCGCCAACTTTGAAATTTTAAATGGTAATCACTTATTTTTATTGCATTATTGCATTCTCTTCTCCAAACTGAGTAAAATGTATCTAGTTGTTGGTACTTATCTGTCATATTTTTTTAAATATGTCAACTTTTTGGTGAAAATTTTCATTTGCAGAGGTTCATTTAAAACATCACAGCTCCTGAACCCTTTGCGATAAGTGAATAATTTTTCTTACATTTGATAACCAAAGGTTTGAAGAGTTTTCTGAAATTTTCAAAATTGTCAACTGTCAAATTACAAAGCTACGAGGGCAAAGCCAGAATTACCCGGCCTGACTATGAAAAATTCAAACTACAGTAACATGTTTTTTTATTTTTCAATGTAGTCTCCGTTAACTTCAATACACTTATTACATCGCTTAATTAACAATTCAATCTCTTTAAAAAAATAGTCTTTTGGTTTATCTTCAAAATGATCTAGCACAGCTGGTTGCAACTCAAATTCGTCACTAAAACGTCGCCCACGAAGGTCCGTTTTTAAATATCCAAATAAATAATAATCGCTTGGAGCCATATCTGGACTATATGCGGGGTGATCTATCTGTTGGAACCCACAATCCAAGATGGCAGCTTGTGTAACACCAGCAGTATGAACGGGCGCATTATCGTGCAGCAACCGCACGCCTCTGGTCAGTTTTCCTCGACGTTTTTCGCGAATATTGTCTCGAAGTTTGTAAAGTAATGATGCATAATACATGCCGTTAACGGTGGTATTAGTTTCTTTAAAATCTATTAAAAGTATCCCTTCACAATCCCAAAAGATCGTGGCCATCACTTTTTTTGTTGATTGGCAGACTCTAAATTTTCTTGGGCGTGCTTCACCTTTACGACGCCATTCCATTGATTCTCTTTTTGATAAAGGGTCATTATAAAGGACCATAGTTTCATCTCCGGTTACAATCGTTTCCAATATAGGGTTTGGGTCGGCTCCACACAGTTCCAAAAATGATCGAGAACACTCCACACGACGTTATTTTTGAAGCGCTGAAAGGTGTTTGGGAACCCATCTTGCACTGACTTTATGCATTCCCAAATGGTCATGCAGGATTCGGCGTACACTTATATCAGAAACTTTGGTCATTTCTGATATTTCTTTGACCTTCAAACGTCGGTCACTTAATACTAGTTTTTCCACAARGGCAACTTTGTCTTTGGTTATCACCTCTACTGGCCGACCAGGTCTTGTGTCATCTTCTAGGGATTCCTGTCCCATACGAAAACGTTTTGCCTATTCTTTCACCACAGAATAGGACGGGGAACTTTGACCGTATACGCCATCGAGTCTGTCTTTAATAATTTTAGGTGTAAGCCCTTCTTTGGTTAAGAATTTTATGACTGCCCTGTACTCAATTTGGTTCACCTGAGACATTTTTGTAAACGCGTCTTATTCAAAATGCTTACAATTGACAACTATTTGACTTAAGAGATCAATTTTTTTTCTACAGCTTACTATGTTATGTGCTTATAAGAAGACAAAATTTTATCCCGATAAAACATCGGCGTCTATATCAGGCCGGGAATTTCTGGCGCTTACCTCGTAGTATGATTTTTTTCAAATTGATGCTATAACTCAGTTTTTTTCAAATGAAATGACCCTAATTTCTCAACGGCAAATACATCAATTTATAGGAGGACTTGTGCCAACATGTCCTATATCCCTGATACAGTTTTTGAAATAATCAAGAAAAACATGTTTTTGTTTTTTATTTTTATAACTAATTACGTAGGCTTTGAAAAAAAAAAACAATAAAGCTATGCCATAATTAATACATATGTTCGATATGTTCACCATTTTCAAAGAGTCCAAAACTCGATGGTGAACTGATTTGAGTAGCTTCCATTAGTTTATTTGGTTGAAGATTATTAAATGCCGCCTCAATCCTTTGCCTCACTTCTTCGTAATTTCGGATGGGTGTTGTGTAGACTAAAGCTTTAATACGTATTAATCATTTTCCAAAGCCTACGTGATTAACCATAACAATAAAAAGCAAAAACACGTTTTTCGCGATTATTTAAAAAATGTAAGAAATGGGTATAGGACGTGTTAATAAAACTCCTTCTACAAATCGATGTACTTTCGATTGCCGTTGAGAAATTTTATTTGAAAAAACTGAGTTATAGCTGTTTGTTGATCACCATTTTCAAAAAATCATATCAGCTTTGCAATTTGACAGTTGACAATTTTGAAAATTTTAGAAAACCTTTGGTTATCAAATGAAAAAAAATATTCACTTATCGCAAAGGGTTCAAGAGCTGTAATGAACCTCTGCAAATGAAAATTTTGAACAAAAAATTGACATATTTAAAATAATATGACAGATAAGTACTAACAACTAGGTACATTTTACTCAGTTTGGAGAAGAAAATTCAAAAATGTAATAAAAATAAGCAATAAAAATAAGTGGTTACCATTAAAAATTTCAAAGTAGTTCCGAAAGTTCAGCCATTTTGAAAATAATTTAGTTGAACTCAGACTGGTTGATTTGGATTGTGTACAAAATTTCAAATTTTTATCTGCGTTAGAAGTTATAAAGAATCACCTTGTATACCTTGCATATTTGGTTGCTTACATACGAGTAAAAATCCATTATAAAAAAATCATTTATTAAGTCACTAATGCATAATTTCATATACATTTACAAATCCCATTAATAAACGGTCAACGACAATTCATTTTAAATCTTTTCAATCTGCAATAACTCCAATCCAAGTCTAAGAATTTCATTTTGATGAAAAGAAGTTCGCAACGTCCTATAAAAGACGATATGTCTCGACTGTAGCAATATTGACGCAATATGAAGTTTGATGACTTCTTTAGGAGTTGTAAGGAAGGAATCTACGATTATTGTTAGAGTTTCTGGAGAAAAACACGTTGAAAAAAAGAGGAAGTATCTAGATCAAGATTTTTTAGAAAGTGAGGTATTATACTGGTATTACGTTTTTTATTTGTTCAAATCAAATGCTGGGTGACTTTAAATAATTGTGACAAATAATCTATTAGTAATACTCAATAATTAATACATTTTTTAGCTTGTGTTGCCTATGATGTTAAGTTGAATTTCTTATCAATTTGACGACAAAAATTGCAACAGATTTTCACAATGTATATCAAATGGAGTACAGCAGCTCGCACATACATGATTACATACCTATATACTCGTAGATTATTTTGCTTTCCAACAGTTCTAAAACTTGCTCAAATATCCCATTAAAACTTTCTACTTAGTTTATCATTTTAAATTGGTCCCAAAAGATTGACACGTCATAATATCATTCCCCTACGCTGAAAATGTTGCGGTAGTGCATTAAAACTTTACAGAATCTCATTGTCTTCAAATTTGCACCCTCTCAAGTATGTTGTGGATGTAACACATGCATTGTTCTACTTACAGCGCAAACATTTAGTTTATAAAATATAGAAATTAGGCTCACCCACCGGGATAATAGATAGCTTCCTTTCTGACGGTGTAATTGGCTTGGGGGATTCGAAGCTCACACGAGAATTCCTCTGGGCCGTTTAAAGATGGCACCTCTGCTGTAGCTCGAATGTCGAATAGTCCGGCCCTTTCTTGCACGGCCACCTTTGAGCTGTTCACTTCGCTGAAAAGAAAATAGAAAATTGCGATTCCTTTTGAGGAAAATTAACTGCCGCTTTTAATTTCCGCTCGACAGTAATGTTTAATGTGTTTGTAAATGCAATTTAAAAAAAATTAGCTTCTAAAAAAACATCTGCAGGTCAAGTGATTCTTTATTATTGTCCAGTTAACTGGTAAAAAGCCTTGTAAAAAAAATTAGGAACCAATAAAAATTAAGTAATTTTAAAATTACTTAATTAACATTAAAAATTATGGTTTCAGTAATGAATTCAAATAGTTCAGTTTAGTTCAAAACAGTAAATTTATTATTTATGTACGAAATCTAGAGACTATAATGTATCTAATTCGTTTATTAATAACAATTTATATATAAGAAAAATAAGTTGGGGTTTCTTTGTGTAAGACGTAAAACAGTTTAAATTCAAATAACAAGTTTCTTTGTCAGGTTCAAGCTTGCCACGGGCACAAACGCCGCATAACGCAAATGAGCCGTGGTTTAGTCAACATTGTTCAGAAAGTAGAGCAAGTCGAATACGTTAAATGAGCCAAGTTACTGTTCTATTTATCGTGATATGAGCTCTTTTATCGAAGCGTAAAATCTCCCGTTTAGCGAACTGCAATTATCGAAGCGGCCTTATTAAAACCGGCTTCATTTCGACGGTGGTTAATTTTAATTTGCCGGATTTAATTGAGTCATAAAGTGTGCATAAGTTATTACCTGTTGCCCACATGCAGACTCATATTGGGCTTAGGGAATACGCCCTCTGCTAAACACACCACCTGCAATGTGCCGTCGCCGACGTGTTCTTGTCGTAGCTCTAGACGCTTTTCCGGCACTGAAATTAATAAAACATGTCAGGAGTTTTATTGAGGTAAATTTTATGACAACACCTTTCATCTATTATTCGCAGAAGCTGTATAATCACCACGCTTGATTACACACAAAAATCTAATTGTGTACGTAATTAGGATTATATCAAATAAAGAACTACTCGTATAAACTCAAGAATTTACCTTTAGGAAACGTGTTTTGCGATAAGTATTGATTAAAACCACATTTTTCTTGAACAAACTGAAAGTCTGCGTTGACAACATTTTTGGGAGCTTTATTTCCTACTTACTCTCTCTAGATTCGTCGTCTTATTATTATTAAATGTTTTCTCATTGCATATAAATCGCGTGCAAAAGATTTTGGTCG